GGCAACATCACTAGTAGATTATAATATTATTAAGACTACTGGGTATCAGGTATGTACCACGAAAACCTATAATCAGCTATCTGTGTAATATATTATATATTATCATATCCGACCGGTAATGAACAACCTTCGTCGTTGTATGTTTATCAGTCTGTGGCCGGTACACCACTACTATTAACGCTTGCGCCGAACGCTACATCGCTTAGCTTGCCTGGCTCGCGGGTTGTCGCCTGTTCAGTGTCCCGTTGACCATGTGCTCCATCGGTTATGCGAACGAATCGCGAATAATAGTTTATTTTGTTATCGCCAAACTGTTCGCATAGTTTGTCGATTGGATCACGTACGTACGTCGGTGTTAGAAATCTCATATAATTCACTAAATGGTAACACGTTAGATATTATATTAAACAATTTTTCTATATGTGTATTAGCGCACGCGCGTTATTTTTCCAAATCAGTTTTAAAAAATAAAAGCTAAACATTTATTTGTGTATACCGTCTTATAAAATACCAATTGAAAAATATTTCTTTTTATTATTCTTATCGTTTAATATGATATTATTGACAGATATGAAARATTACTTATTTGTAGTCAATGTATGGGTTTTGAACACTGCTTTTATTTTAATCAAACGTTTCAATGTTAAATAATAGTTTAAGACGCTGTCATCCATATTTTAAAACACATCAAAATTTTGATTCGTTTAAATATCGTGACTCGTGGACAGTTAAGATTACTTTTGATTGATTTTTGATCTGTCTTAAATTGTTTACAGCCTCAGTAAGTTAGAAATACAATGTATAATAATGTATATTATGTTATGGTATTAATATTCAACATTTTCGAAAATTACGTTTCGCATAAATATAACACAATTGATTAATTTAAATGGATAGTAAAAATCTAAATATATTTTTGTGTTTGTTTTTTTAAACATAAYTGCGTTTTGTAATCCGTATCTGTCCATTGCCGGTTTATTAAAGCTTTTAAAAACTATACTATTTAAATTAGGTAATTTAATGTATATTGTTAATTTGTTGTAAATTAAATTATTTATATCAAACATAAACAATCGTAGACTAATGATTATAATTCCATAAAAAAAAACGTTTTCATTAATCAATGAAATAATTCAATAAGAATTCATGTATAACATTTTTTTTATGAAAAAAAAATTGTTTTTGTATGGGTGAAATATATATTTTATRGATAATAATATATATATTTTTTTGTATAGTAAAATTGTTTTTTAAAAGAGTAGATACTTACATTATAGATATAATACTTTATAACATAGAATACATTTTACTAATTTTAGCCTATTCATTACGATATTTGGTTTGTAATTTTTATAATTATATGTTATGCATAACATAATATTCCAAATAAATAATAACAATTGGGAAATAATTTATACAGTAGAAAATTATAAATTCATAATAAGTACGTACTTGGAAAATGTACTGATCTACAAATAGTATTTAATTATATAATATTTACCAATTAATACCTCATTATTAAATAAACAAATAAAATAGTGATTTCTAAGGGTAAAATAAATTTTAAAAGCACCTATTACATTTTTGATGAAATATAATGTATATTTACCTAAAACAATATGAGGAATTAAATTACATTTGATTAGTAAATCAAATTGTTGTTTAAATAACTAATATTTTTTTTTAAGATCACGGTGCTAACTTTTTAAAGCAATTGCAAACATCCCATTGAAAATATAGATAGGTATAATATTTCTAAATAAATGAAAACTTTGTTTGATTTTATTTGTAATGTAAAAAACAATGATAATCAAATCAAATAAGTTTTAAAAACATTTCTAAATGTATATATTCAACTTAATACTAAGGTACATAGTATACATAAATATAAATATTATGTTTTATTTTTAATTAAGATTATTGTTTTAAATACACCTATTTTTTTTTTATTTTAAACATTATAAATTATTTTTATTTTTTATTGTTTTAGTTGGAGACAATGAAGATTTGAATTATAACCAAAAGAGAATATTAATTTATAAAACTACAAGTATTCAATTATTATTTTTGATTATTGTTCAAATGTGAAATGTAAATCAAAATGTTTTTTTTTAAGTGTACATATATTAATGAACGTGACTACCATAAATATCGGTTTTATTGAGTGATCAAAAGTGAATCAAATAATATAATTTTTATAAACAAAGTATCACTATGAAAATATTTCTTAATTTGGGACTTATTCTATTTTATGTTATGCCGTGTATCTTGATGTTGATTCAAAACCCAACTAAAATTCAAGGTTAGTAAAACATGTTATTATTTTGCTTTTTTTTATTTTTATCYTTATACTAGAATACAATGTTTTAATATTTTTTATGTTATATTTAAATACATTTGTTTGCTCAATCAATATTATGGATAGTCAATACAAAAGTCGAATGTCTTTTAAATTTAAATAATTTACAAAATAATAATTGTTATTGATAAAAATAATATGTCTGTCGTGTCTGAATGGTGAAGTAATAATAAGACTTTTAACTCTAGYCTTACCTAACCTAACAATTTTTCTTTTGGAAAACTTATAATTACAATGTGGATAGTATTGAAAATAGAATCTGTGCCCAACACATTTTTTTTCGTTTTTGGTAACGGTTAACACTTGTAGTGATAGGGAAAACAAAATTGTTGAATGCTAGATGTTKACCATACATTGTTTGACTTAATAATGTTTATTTTCTTAAATTATGGTTGGTTCATTATTCATGCAATAATGATGTCTTTACATTTTTACATGGTCACTAATAGTGAGTTCACATAGGTAATAAGATGATTAAAATAAGATAATTTTACTAAATTTTATTAAAAACATATAAGTACACCTAAAATTTGGTTTAAAAATTCAATTTATAAAAATAAAATCGTCATAATATGTATATATGGAACTATTTTAKATATTATTGTATTACAACAAAAAAACTTAAATTTCTTTTTACGTAAACACTAATCGTTAAACTAAAAGCATAGAAGAAATATTACATGTGACAACATTTCTTATAGGTAGGTAGGTAATCGTAGGAGGTT